CTGAGATTCAACCTCTGGAACAGATGCTAAACTAAGGGATTTCAGTATTTGCTAAATAAGTTAGAGTCTTTAGCTTCAAAATGCATTCAAATATTTATAATAATATTTATAAACAGATATATATATACACACACACACACATATATATATATATATATATATGTGGAGAGAGAGAGCAAGAGTGATTTCTGCGCCAGGAACTTCCTGTTTTCAACATATTTTAACATATTTCTTCCAAATATTTTCTCATCAGTTCTCACAGTCAGTCAGTGAGTTAGACATAGTTAATCCCCTCTTTACAGTGGATGAGGACACTGTATCTTGGAGAGGCTTAGTAAGTGAGTGAAGACCATAGAATAAATAAGTGTTATGCAAAGAGAGTTGGTACCCAGTTGTGAAGACAAAAATGCTACTGCAGCGATTGCTGGCAGTTCTGAATATCTAGGATTCTAAGTTTTGCTCAGTACTTCTGTCTTTCCTATGGTTGGGACGGCAGTAAATTGAGGAGGTAGAATTTTCCTTAATTGCAGGAGGAGTGGGAAAGGGATTAGTGTGGAGTTTAAAATAAGCTGCTGTCTTCTAAGAGTTGTCAAAGTAAATTGTGTCCCCAGAGACATTTAAACGCAATTAGATCACACATTTGCACATGGCTGTAGCTGGGAGGCTTGTAGCTGGTCTAACCAAAGGGATTTTAATGGCGCAAACAAGCAATACTTTGAAATGTTTTGCATAAGAAATTACTGTGTAAATACACTTGCTACATTTTAGTTAATCTTGGCCATGTGGAACCTCACTTGTCATTTGAACATTCATTTAACTACTTTGTAAAAGTTTCTTTAGTTATAGAAGAATGCAAAAATGTCCCACAGAGGCTGGAAAACAGACCTTGGAGATTATTCCATTCCTGAGATGAGACACAATTGCTTTACCAGCTGAACACCATCTCTCTAGCCTGTAAAGGCAACGGTTCTCAGATTTGCTGTGATTCAGCTTCGTTAGAATATGCAGCAGTGTTGATGGACATTTTCCAGTTCAAGAAACATTTGCAATTCCTCTTAGCATAACATTCAGAGTTTTAAGGAAGCTTCACTTGTCAGTTCGTACTAGAAATTAATTTTTTAAATCATTTTGTTTAGTGATGTTTATTTTTACCTACTTCATTTAGATTTTGATTCCATCCTTCAGAAGGATGTTTACTTTTCTAGATACTTTGCTTGGAAGCAAAGATTAGAAGGATATGAGGAAAGATATTGAAAGGACATAAGCTGGCTTATTTAGGGCTGCTGCCTCACGGGTGCCAAAAACCTTGGTAAGAATCTTGAACAGTTAAGTGGATGCTATAATTTGAATTTCACATAAAAACCTGATATTTTTTAGTCCTTGCACTTAAAAATCATATTATGTTTATTGTAAGGCATATTGAAGGAAACATAGAGACAAAATTTAAGTAAAATACATATCTAGATGCAAGTACATGTTTTTCTTATGTATATCTAAACCTAACACTCATAACTTAGCCAACTTAATTTAAATTTAAATAAAATTACAGTTTTTCCCTCTTTACTTATTGGTAATTTTTAAATGTTGAGGTAAAGAATTTTTGAGCTGGGAGTGTGGTACAAGTGGTACAGTGTTTGCCTAGCAAGCATGAAACCCTGAGTTCAAAACTCAGTACCACTATAAATAAATAAATAGCTAGGTAGATAGATAAAGAAAAACTTTTTTGCCAGCCTTGCCCAACCACACCAGATCATGAATGAGTGATTTTCTACAACTGTCTGTGCAAGGTATCTCACCTTAGTCTCCTAGGGATGGAGCTATCCAGGCAACTTTTTTTGGGGGGCTGTATTGTCCAGAGAGCTGACTGTTTAGTAAACTGTGTACCCTGTCCATAGTATCACACTCAAAGTTGAATTTCAAAGGAGACATATTACCAATATTTATTTCTCTGTAGCAGCAGATCCTAGTAATGTAGAGCAATGCAAATTGAAACATAGGACATTTGGACTGCAGATTATGTGGGAAATCTTATTGTTCACAGGATGTTCATTTTGCCTTGGGAATCAGGCAATAATACTGGCCAAGCTAGACTTAGAAAGAAAAGACTTCAACAAAATTGGTATGATCACCAGGATAACCATATTTTCTAAAATCCTCCTCGGTGAACTCTGTTATCTCCCCATGATACTCCTCTACACATGAACATCTCCTTGAAACCAAAAGAATAATAATCTTCTTAAGTAACACATCCTGCTTCCTCAAACTAAACTTTTGTCCTATAAAGTATTTAGTTCAGCCTTGTCTTTTTGAACCTTTGGATTTCTATAACGTTGGAGATCCAAAAACAATCCTGAAATCTGGAAAGATCATGGTACCTGGCTCCAAATCAGGTTTAATTTATGATTAAAAAAATCATAAATTACACAGCAAAGATAAGGGGCATAGTTTCTTCACTTATCTCTCTGTTACTTTCTTTGGCATTGCAGATGGAAGGTGCTATAGCCTAAGCTACGTTCTGGAAGTGAGTCGAATGAAACCACATGCTTACAACAAAGTGTATTTATGAAGGACATATTTGACATTCACGGCCATTCTTACTTCTCTTTATGAGGCAATATACTTTGGTTGCAAACAACAGGGAGAGCCTTTAGGCGGCTGTACTAGTTTGCCTGAGCTGTCATAAAAGTACCACAAACTGGAGCAACAGAATTTATTGTCTCCAGTTCTCAAAGCCAGAAGTCAAGGTGTCACCAGCGCCTCGTCCTCTTTGGAAATTGTAAGGGAAGGATTCTTCCTTACTTCTCCCTAGTTTTTGACGGCAGTCTTTGGTGTTCCTTGGCTGATAGATGTTTCACTCCAATCCTCCATCTTCACATAGGCGTCCTTCCACTGTGCATGTCTGTCATAAATCCAAGTTTTCCTTTTTATGAAGATGGCAATCATATTGGATTAGGGCTTGCCCTAATGACCTCATTTTAACTTGACCTCCTCTGTTAAAAACCTCTGCTTCCAACTAAGGTCATATTCCCAGGTATTGAATGTTAGGATTTCAACATATCTTTGGGGGACAGGAGAATGTAATTCAAGAGTGAGCCAATGGGATCAAAGAAAAAAAGATCTGGAAGGAAATGAGGAAAGGAGAAAAATTTGAAAGAGAAAATAATCCCCAAATTTATCATTAACTCTATGTTAATAATAAACCTCTGGTGATTATTATTGCCATTTTGAAAAACTAGCCACTCATCTATAATTTACATTTCTTTCAAGACAAGAGTTGGGAGAGAATTCCAGGTAATCATAGTTCTTTCCATTACCAAGTTTTCATTGGTTAGGTTTTGTGGCCATGTCATAATAATGGAGAAAATGAGCTCCTGAGTAAGCCCCTTCTATTTTTTGCCTGTTGTTCATGCACTGTGGTTCAGATCAGGACACCCCACAGGATTTGCTGGCCACAGGAAGCTTCCTGGCATAGTGTGGTCAGCTGTTCCTTGATACCTTGGAGGGGAGGCTGTATTTTTCCCCTCCTGGTTCCTGAAGCACCTAATTCTCATGCTCCATTTCTGGGTTCTCCTTCTCATTCCACCCTCTCTCCTCACTCATCCCACCACCACCTCTTCAAAGAATGCACCATTGTTATATTACTTATGCTTTGAGTTAAGAAAAGAAAAGAAGAGGTGGGAAAAATTAATAAAGTAAAACTGCATAAAATTAAGGGTAGAATGGGGTGGCTTATTATTAAATAGCATAATAATGTTAAAAAATAGACTTAGCGTCCAGCCTGTCTTTTTGTATTTTTTTGACTCTCCCAAAGAGAAATGGCTGATAGAACTACTGAGTATTTTGCTTGTTAAATTCTATGCCATGCTTGTGCTTGTAAGGGGTGATCCCCAAGGCTGGAGTAACATGTAGGGGAAGTCTGGGAGTTAGAGACCAGGCCCTTAATGGGGCAGGTCAGACCTCCACCTGGAGGTGAAGGAAAACTAGTATCTTAGGCTTAGACAGAGCATGAGCTCAATAAAGGGTGAGCATTGGGTCCCCTGAAGGAGATAAATAGGGATAGGGTGATTCAACCAGTGAGTAGGAAATGATGGAGCAGAATATATCTAGATTTTTACATTCCTAGCATCAGAGTAACAATTTAATGGTCTGTCCAGAAGTAATGCATGTGAATCCTGTCCTTGACTCATTGGCCTGAGACAATCACTTGGCTCCATTCAACTTAAAGAGCCCGGGAAGTATATGTTCCTTTAAGGGGGAGACTGGGCATATTTACCAATGGCAGCATTGACTCCCTCTGGTCAAAATGTAGATTCCAAATCACTGCCAAATAGGATCTTGTTCAGGAGAACCTTGAGATCTGCATTTTTAAAATGCCTTCTCAGCCAAGTCTAATACAGAGTGGGGAGGAAAGGATGAAGGGGAAATCCTGGACTACAGTTTGAGGAAAACAGATGTAGAGTACCGCCTCAGTATAGGAAGGTGACCAAGAAGACAGGACAAAGCCTGGTCACCACAAGATGTGATCAGAGGCTATGGGTGCTGGACAGTGGCCCAGTGGTCTTGATAAGAATGTCCTCAATGCCTAGGCATGAAGGTGGCCTGAGACAGAGAAGACCCTTAGGCATATTGAGCTCCTTCAGACACTGGGAAATGAAAAGGCATGCTGAGCCTTTTCAATTCCAGGCAGTGCTTTTCAGATGTGATCTAAAGTATATGTTTAGCATAAGTTAACATATGCTATTGAATAATCACTTTTTTCCTTTCCTCTGTTCTTTTCTCTCCTGTCTTTCTTTCTTCCTTTTCTTTCCCTTTCCCTATTGCTTGCTCTCTCCTTTGTTCCCCGTTATTCTCTTTCCTTCTTTTTATTCCCCTCTACTCTTTCTAATTCTTCTGTTCTCAATATTTCCTCGTCTCTCTATCCCTCCCCATCCCTCTCTTTCTCTCCTCCTCTTTGCCATTTATTATTCTCCTTTCCTTCTCCCCCCCATTTCTCTTCACCCATGCCTACCCCCTTCTATTGTCTCTCCAGATACTATGCCATCTGCTGCCAGCCTCTGGTTTACAGGAACAAGATGACCCCTCTGCGCATCGCACTAATGCTAGGAGGCTGCTGGCTCATCCCCATGTTTATCTCTTTTCTTCCTATAATGCAAGGCTGGAATAACATTGGCATAGTTGATTTGGTGAGTATCCACACAAACCCTACTGGTTTGCTGTCTGATCAACTTTGGGAATCTAAATAGATAATCCAAAACTGGGTGAATGTTCTAAGAAAGAGTCTGATAGTGGTCTATATGAGACTTTTAAAAAAAGATAACATCTTTGAATGCCTGCTGTATACTAAGTATCTCTTTGGTCAAACTTTGGTCATGTTCTCTGAATTCTCTTCCAATCTAAGCCTCAAATTATGTACATCCCTGTTGATCTTTGCATCATTCAATTTCAGCAAGAATCCTATTAAATTAGGTTAGCCAGAATCCCTTACCTTCAATACCTGATTAAGTTCCTTATCTTTAACCATTCCCCAAGTGAAGTCCGGTTACTCTGGCTTATCTTCAGCAAGAATCCTGCTAGGTTGGCTCTTACCCCAATGTTTCTTAATAATTTTCTATCCACTGACTCTTATACACTGTGTCCCTTGGCTATCATTTCCTGCTTTTCCTTGTTGTATTCAGAGTTAAGCTCATTCTCTCTCCCTGACTGCAAAACTTCATTATAGTAGTCCCTATAACCTATCACAATCATACTGAATAAAATCTGACTTGCTTCTTTAACAAGTGTCATGAACAATTTTTTTCTTAAATATTACTGTATGCCAGATAGTACACTAAATACTTTACGTATAATTCTAACAATATCTTTTTGGGAAGACCGTAAGTATTTCCCCATTTTGCAAATGAGAAAGTCCAGCTTGAAAGGTTAAGTAACATGTCCAACGCTACACAACTCACAAATAGCAGAACAGGAGTCAGATTTCAGGGCCCAGGGTCATATGATCCCTTTTACATTGAGTCTGTAAGGCCTGCATTGACCCAGAGAAAACATGTGGGGACTGCCAGGAAATGAAGAGAGCATTGGGCCAGAAGTCAAGAGAACTAAGCCTGGCTCTTCCATTGTCCCATTTCCTGAAAGGTTGCAATGGGAAGGTCATTCAGTCCCCAGTGGAAAGAAGTTTCTGCCAAGGGCATAAGAGGGCATTTGACACATATGCCAGGCACTTGGCAGCCCTTGTGTTGGTTTTCTAGAGAAATAGAACCAGTAGGATGTTTGTGTGTATATGTGTATGTGTATGAGTGGGGAGGTGGAGAGACAGGCAGAGACAGACACAGAAAGACTTATTAGGGAGGTTGACAAGTCTCAAGATCTGCAGTCAGAAAACTGGAGACTGTGGAGAGCAAATTTTTCATTTCAAGTCCAAAGAGAGGAAAAAAACTGACATCCCATCTTGAAGGCAATAAGGCAGCAGGAGTTCCTTTTATTCAGCCTTTTTGTTCTGTTCAGACCATCAACAGATTGAATGAAGCCCCACAATAAGGAAGGAAATCAGCTTTACTCAGTTTACCAGCTCAAGTGGTCATCTTATCCAAAAATGTTCTCACAATGGTGTGCCAAATGTCAAAGTACTCCATGACTCAGTCAAGTTAAATAAAATTAACCATCTTGCCCTGTCTACATAATCTTGAGAGTTCTCCATCTCTAGTGTACCAAAATTATAATGAAAGTCAAAATCTGTGGTCTGGATTGATCAGCAAGGATATATTTTTCCTAAGGAATCTGCTGGGAAATCACTCTAAAATCAGTCCCAGGATGCCTTTTGATGCAGGAAGAGGAACAAAGAGTAGAGAAGAGACTGAGAGTGATCTCCAGCCTAATGCCCTTCTTCCCTTTACTCCATCCATAGCACCTAGTCCTGACTTTTTCTTTGTCCCGGAAAAATACATCCAAACCAAAACCTAGGCCAGGTTTTCCACATGGTATGTCAGAACAGAAGTTCTTGGACTTCTGAAAGAAGTATTAGAGACAGGAGAGTGAAACAGAAGAAAGAAAATTCATGCAGGCAGGGAGAGTGCATGGATATTCTCTTGAATCCTGTCCTATGTCTTTCAAACTGTTCATTTTATCTTGGGAGACATGAAATCCAAATTTTTAAGAAATATTTTTCTACTACTAATAATAATGATAATGGCCAGCAAGCATTGCATATCAAGCCCACATCAATCACTTCCTACAAACTTCACCAGCCTCACACCAACACTGAAGTAGACCAATTATTGTCCTCATTTTATAGATCAGGAAACTGATGATCAGAGAGGTTTAGTTATCAGCCAAACCTATTCGAAAGAAATGGTGATGACTGCATCTAAGCCCAGGCTTACCGAACTCCAGAGTCTGTGCTCTGAATTTTTTTTTGCAAAACTTACTCCCTTCTGGAGGAGGTGGTTTGGAGCATGTGCTTTTGTGCATGGGAGAATTTTTAGTGAGGGCTCAGAATTCTTATCTTCTGGTGTAGAATTTCCAAGGGAAACAATAGAGGAAGGTTTTGTTCACTCATGAGAATGAGATAGAGGCATCTACTGTTTACTTCACCTGTATCACCTATATAGATGAGGTATCTACTTACTATATAGATGAGGTGTGTGTGTCTCTCCACACATTTGCACATTGAATCTATTGAGAGGAAAGCTTATGATCGAACACAATATAGATGGAACTGATTCTCATTTCCTCCAGCAATCATAGTTTATAAAGTCACTGCGAACACTGAATTAGCAAAAACTGAGTCTTTGCTCCTGAGGGAATACAGAGTTAGATTCCTGCAAGTCTCTGGTCACATTTTTTATCAGCCAATCAATATCGAACTGCATTTCGTGTGTGTTTCTATTTAAAGACACTGATTTAATTTTTATTGTTGACCCATTTACATTAAACTGATGATCAAGGCACTATAACTCATGCCTGAGTGAAGGGTATTTAATGCACGCATTTTTCTCCTGTAAGGTTACATCACAGCCTTTTTGCAGTTAGGAACACTAGACAGCACTTCAGTACTGTGCTTAAGGGCCATTTCAAATAATGAAATCACCAACAAGAATCAACCACCAAAGTACAAAATATGTGGCAGCAAACAGTGGAAAGGATACTTGGAGTGAAACTAGAAGGTCCCGGGCATTGCCTTGTTTGATTTCAGCTGGGAACATGCCTATCGAGCAACTCTCACTGCTCTGTACATGCATGTGTGTAAATAACTGTAAAAGCACCAAAAACATTGATTTTTGGAGGGGGGGCATAAATAAATTTTAGTGAGCAGGTGAGTTCACAAATATATAATCCATGAATAATGAGCATTGACATACAACAACACGTATAAACCTCCACACACACGCAAACATAGATAATGCCCAGGACAGGAAACTTCTCCAGAGAATTTCTTTCTTTGTTCAGTGAAATCATCTGTACTTTTAAAGCTGGACTTTCAGAAATGCCATACTTCAAACTCAAATTTTATAAATCATCAGTGATATTGGCTCATTGCATGGTTATTAACATAATGTGAAAGAAACCTTTTAAAAGTTCAAAGTTGAGTGTTCATATAACTTTCAGAGTATTTCTCAACTATATTCTTTTCTCTTATGATTGTAAGGCCTCTCTTGGCCGTTACTCTGTATTGATACTTTGGATAGTGTGTTGTCTAAATGAGAAAGATTCTTCATCAGGGCACTCAGTAAGCAGAGAAATGAGTCTTGAAAATTATCTCAGGGAGTCACTCGAAAGTCTGTGTTTAGAATAACTTAGAGCAAATTCTCAATATTAATGAACTTCAGAATTATCAAAAAAAAAAAGCTTGCTAACATTGCAGAAATCTGAGTCTTACCGCCCAGATACTTAAATCGAATAGATCTGGATGGGAGACCAAATGCACTTAGAATGAGCGCAACAGAGGATTGCAGTTTACAACCACTCTGTTAAAAGACACTGGTTTCTTATGTGCAAGCAGACAAGGAGGGAAAAAGAGAGGTTGAACATATGGGTGAAGAATGATCCAATCCCCATTTTATTTCTGCTCTTTCCAGGATCTTCAGCCCCTTTTGCATAAACAAGCATTCTGAACCCTAGATATGTTCATGTTCTTTTTGTACCACCAAAGTTCTATATGTTGTAGGATTATACAAAAAACAAATTTTTGCTGATAAACTTTTGTTTTTCTTTCCTTTTCCCTTTGCCTTTTTCTCTGATTCTTCTTTTCCTTTCTTTCCCTGTTACTTTCCCCTTCTATCTTATTTCCCTTTCTTGTCTTGTTTCTCATCTATTTCTTTTCTTTCACTTTCCTTCATTTTTCTCCTGCTCCTTCTTCTCTCCCTCCAACTCCCAGATAGAGAAAAGGAAGTTCAACCAGAACTCCAACTCTACGTACTGTGTCTTCATGGTCAACAAGCCCTACGCCATCACATGCTCTGTGGTGGCCTTCTACATCCCATTTCTCCTCATGGTGCTGGCCTATTACCGCATTTATGTCACCGCTAAGGAGCATGCACACCAGATCCAGATGTTACAACGGGCAGGGGCCCCCTCAGAGGGCAGGCTTCAGCCAGCAGATCAGCATAGCACTCATCGCATGAGGACAGAGACCAAAGCGGCCAAGACCCTGTGTATCATCATGGGCTGCTTCTGCCTGTGCTGGGCTCCGTTCTTTGTTACCAATATCGTGGATCCTTTCATAGACTACACTGTCCCTGGGCAGGTGTGGACTGCTTTCCTCTGGCTCGGCTACATCAATTCTGGGTTAAACCCCTTTCTTTACGCCTTCTTGAATAAGTCTTTTAGACGTGCCTTCCTCATCATCCTCTGCTGTGATGATGAACGCTACAGAAGACCTTCCATTCTGGGCCAGACAGTCCCCTGTTCAACCACAACCATTAATGGATCCACACATGTACTAAGGTGAGTGCTCAGGGGGCTGATCGGTGTGGTTGATATGAATTACTCAGAAGGGATAACCCCCCTTTCCACAGGGGTAATTCCTGAAAACGTCTACAGTGTTTGCAAAGTTTAAAGAAGGTTCTCCAAGGTGGCCATAGACTAGAGTAAGGGCTCAGGCTCTGAAAGGAGACTGAGCTGCATTCAAATTCAGTCTCCATGATTCTGTGACATTAGGTGAGTCATTTAACCACTCTGAGCTTTAATTAAATTTTCAATAAAATTTTCGCAATTATAATCATTATATCTACATCAGAGTTTTTGTGAGGATCAAATTAGCTAATGTGTGTAGTGCATAGCCTGACACTTAGGAAGCACTTAGTGTTATCTATTTTATTTAAAGATAGTATTTCAGGGTAGTAGTTAAAGCACGGACTTTAAAATAGAAAAGACTTAATCTTGACTTTCAGTGATTATATTAACCATTTATATAATCTCTCTTGAATTTACTTTCAACTGGATATATAGCAAAATGATACTACCATTCTCAGAGGGTTTTTGTGACAATTAGAGATAATATGTATTTATAGAACCTGACACAGAGCAAGTGCTCATAATAGCAATAATAATTTCACAAATATTAGTAGGACTAGGAGTAATTATATATTGCCTGATAACCTAATAATGAATAAATGAATAAGTAATCTGATAAAAGAAAATAAATACAAAAATAACTGTGTAATACAGTACCACATGTCAATGATATAATGAGGTATGTGATTTAGGCTGAGTGTATGAGCAGGATGGAAGCTGGTTTGGCTTAGGGAAATCTTCACAAAACAGCATTTTATAAGAATTTGAGACAAGGGGGAGATGTCTAGGAACCAGTCCAGGTAGAAATCACAGCATGAGGAAGAGAATGGAATATGAAGAGCATGAAGAGGTCAAGTGATTTACCTAAGGTTACATAGGCTGGTGGAGGTGGGAATGACACTGGAGTTGAATGTCCCATGTCTAGTCATGATGCTTCTTTCATGAGCGATTTCTGGCCACTCTGAGCTCAAATTGTTCTCAGCTATGAAAAGCCATGTGTTTTAAGTATATTTATCCTGTAGCAAAGATGAATGAATTCTCAATGACATTTTTCCTTTGCCCTGAGATGCACAGGGATTTCTAAAGTGTAGTTAAAAACTACACTTTAAAGATAGGCATTTAATTTTTCTGGTGATGACCACATTTGGCTATTATGGCAGCTGAAAATGGGGGAATTTTTATTTTCATGTGTGAGAGAAGAAGAGTAAATGGGAATATTGTGAAATGTAAAAGCTGGGTCTCAGAGGCTGCTCAGAAATGTGATTTCAATTTTCAGTTACAAGTGTGGGCAGGCTTGTAGCTAAAGTCTAGCATGGTGTTGAGGTTCCAGCTGGTAGAACGGTCTGAAAGGATACTCCTCTACAGAGGCTGACATTCTCTTTTAATTATGCCTTAGTGAGTATTATAGAAAGAATCCAATCTCAAAGTGTGTACAAGAACTTCTGTGTGGGTGCCAGAACGTTTTTAGCTATTTAAGCTAGCATTTGCCCAAGTACAGGCTGTCGACCACTTACAAACAACGTATGCTCCAGCAATATATTTGAGAAATTAGTTGTTTTGAAGTTGGTGGCTATATCCCATAGACACCACCATAGAAAGAATTTGGAAGTTTCTAGGACAACCCAATAGAGCCTATTTTACTAATGCCATACTATTTTTCTCTGCTGCTTTTGGTAACCTGTAGTGAGATTTTTAAGCTAAGAGACCACAGGTTAGAGATGGCTTATGAATGTACTCTCCATAATGTACTCCTTGCACTTTTTCATGAGGTTGTGAAAGTGCAGGAAGCTGGCTGCAGTTATTTTATTTTCTGGGGATGGGAAATCATATAAGAGTAAGAGTAACCTATGCAGAGAAGACGAGATTAGTTCACTATAAGACAAGTCTTTTGGGGACAGGGATTCTGCCTGTTTGAGTCACCCAATACCCAACATGTTGTTTGATTTTATATGTACACACACACACACACACACACACACACACTTATATATATATATTTAAGCATATATATATATATATATGAGCTTACATATATGAACTTATATACATGAGGTTCATATAAAGATATGAACCTCATGTATATGTACATATACATATATATGTGTATATACATATATATATGAAGTTATACTCTTACTGAATAAATAAACAAATCATAAAATTAGTTCTCCAGATCAATGGTTTTAACTCTGCACAACTTAAGAAAATTTAGCATTTTTCTTAAAAATCTTACAAGTAGAACATCAACAAATTCAGATGAAGAAAGATAAAATCAAAACAATGGAAAGTAAAAAATCAACTTTTATCCCACCAATGTTACCTTGTCTCCAGAGACAATAATTCACATTCATCTGGTGTTTTTTTCAGTTTTATAAACATTCATGAAAATGTTTAAAATCATAGCTTTTTTCTCTCATTATGCTGTAGAAATGGGACCATTATATATGCCTTTTTTTTTCTTTTGACAGTACTGGGTCTTGAACTCAGGGCTTCATGCTTGCTAGGCAGATGCCCTGCCTCTTGAGCCATGCCTCCAGCCCCTGTGTATGTATTTCTCTGCCTCTTGCTTTTTATTCTTTAACAATTCATTTTGGAGATAATGCTAATGGAGAACATGTAGATATTTATTTTTAACTGTTCCATAATCTTCTGTACTAAAAATACCTATTAAAATTTATTTCATTATTTGCCATTAGTGGGCTATTACAAACTGTACTATTTTTAATACCCTTGAACATATTTTTGTGCATTTCTTTCAGATAGTTACCAAAATTGAAATTGTTATTAACATGTATAGCCAGTTATGATTTTTATGTTTACCATGAAACAGAGCTCCTAGAACATTGTAGCAAATTGCATTCTCATCAGTGGGGTATGAGAGCATCCTTTATTCTTCCCTATTACCATTACTGAATATCGTCAATCTTTCATTATTTTGTTAATTAAAAAACATTCATTTAATTTCTATTTCTCAGATGATTTTTCAGGTTGACACTCTTGTGAATTAGTTCTTGATTATTTATATTTATCCTTGTATGAACTCCTTCACCCCATGTTTGGCCTTTTTTTGTGACAACTTAATTGTATTTTCTTATTAATTTCTGGGTGTTCTTTATTATATTCTAGATAAAATCCTTTGTTATATAATTCTTTATATCTTATCCTTAGTTTTTAACTTTGGTTAATCTTTTTCTTATAGAAGTTAAAATTTTTTTTTTGCTGAGACTGGGGTTTGAACTCAGGCTGTCATGCTTGCAAAGCAGGCACTCTACCATTTGAGCCTTACTTTTCTGTTTTTTCTCCAAACTCACCAGCACCTCTTTCAGTTCCCCCTTACAGGCTCCTCCCTCTCTCTGATCTCTAATTATTGGAGTTCCCAGGACATGGTTCTTGATACTCTTCTTTGCTATAGTTCTTTATGTTATTGTACCATCTGTGACTTTAACTTCCATCTTCATGCTGTCAGCCTTCTCTTCTGAATACTATCTCCAGGTCACAGCTATCCTCTGAGCTCCAGATATATAAGATCCAATTGGGACAACCCCAACTAAATGTCTCTTAGAAATCCCAAGTTTAATGAAATCAAAAAGAATTCCTAACTATTTACTCTTCCCTCCTCCAGCCTGAAGTTTCTGGGGTTTTCTCTATCTCCATAAATGGAATCAACTTCTAAAGTATTACTACATCCAGACACTTTTCTGTGTCTCTTATGGAGAACTAACATACTATAGGGCCAACTTAAATCTCTTATTTTAAATTGTATCATTAATAGTACAAGGAAATTGCATTGGGAACATTTTGTAGATGCATACAGTGTACTTGATCAAGTTCACATCCTCTATTATATTCCCTTAAGAAAGAAGAGCCAATCAAAGTTTGACCAGCAGGGCACTCACATTAGCATCATTTGGTAGCTGAGTAAAAACACAGATTCGGAAGCCCCACTCACTGAATCATGGCAAAACTATTAACATGACATTTCTATCAAGATGAATCTTACGCATAATAAACTTCTGGAGCTACACTGGAGCTAGACTCTGAGGGATCTCAGTGGTCCAGTGTATGCTGACATTGACTATGCTTTAGGGCTTTGGGTCATGACACATATTACTGTTCTTGAGTTCTTATAGCATCTTTTAAAGGGCAATTATTTTATTTGAGATTAACTAGTAAAATGTAGTATCAAATTCCTTTTGAAAACTTTCAAAAAGTTTCTGAAAGTTTCAAAAACTTCCTGAAAGTTTACCTCAGTTTAGTCATGCTTTAAGCCAAACGTTTCTCCCCTCTTGGGAGACATACTATGACCATGTAACCTTGCTTTGTGACCACAACTAGGTGACAGTGGGTAACTACTAGCCACGTGTGACTATTTACATTTTAATTTAAAATAAAACTAAAAATTCACTTCCTTAGGGACAAGTCTTATTGATTTGATTTGGGATTCTTTGGGGATTAGATTTTAGGGCTCTTCATCCATTGGATAACTACCAAGTTTCTCACCAGTCTTGTTCACTGCTGCATCCTCAGAGCCTAATAAAGTGCTTGGAGCACTGTGGAACATGAAATAAGTGATGGAAGAATGCTTTCATCCTTTTTTTGCTGGCCTCTCTTCTGTTTAACTGTCTCTAGGATTCTAACCTCTGATAATCCAGGACAGATGAGGGACTGAGGGTGTTGACTATAATTTTAGAGATTTTTCTCTGTGTGAAATCTGCTAAGGATTCTGCTAAAAAGACAATATACCTTTCCCTAGTTCATTCTTTTTGGGTAGATAATCCCTGTCCTCCTATGTCACTACCTCATTGTCAAAGTCAACCAAGCTAATGGATATGAAATTGCTTTGCTAATGCAAAGTTCTGTCCACATGGGAAAGATAAGAACAGACTATTTATATGTTAGGCAACACAAGAAGAGATCACATCCAAAGTTTAGCTTTGGAGATGGGTTTCTCTGCTCTCCCTCTAGGCTTACATCTCTTGCCTGGCTCCCCAAGGCCAGATCTTACTTAAACCAAGGATGCATACCCAGTTCCTAGAAAGGTTGGAAACCCAAC